CACGAACGGGCTGGCTGCATGGGTGTTTTCGTAGTTTTCCCCATGTGTAACATGTATACGAGCCAGTTTCCCTTAGAAAGTCCTCCACGAAGGCATCCCTCCTCATAGGCAGATAGCTTTAGTGTGCTTTGCCATAATTAAATAAGCCAAACCAAACCTTTCTGAAAAGAAAAGGATAAATGTAATTTTTATGATTTATTTCTTGTGTAATGTAAGCAAGACAAGCGTCCCGTAACAAATCCTTTGAGAAAACATCCCTTTGCACTGGCATAAACTCTTTGCTTGCTTTCCCTTAATCTTGTAATTTAAGTTCACATGTATATCGAAGATCATAAACATACATATTTGCTTACTAACGTTATGTGCATTTTGGTCTATAAAATATTTCCTTTAAATGAACTCCTATTTATGCTGGTACCACAAACTACAATATATATAAGATGATTCAGAAGACATGACAGAAAATATTAATATTTTTCTTATAGGTGATTATCACGTTGTATTATTTAAAAACTCATTATCCAAAATGCAGAAACATTTCGAATGTAATATTATTGACTGTAATTTTCAAAAATTATCACGATTTCCTTAGCCTATGTCACTGAAATTATAAGGGGCAGTTGTTTTTCTGATTAAATAGTTACAATCATCTGCTGCGCAATTTTAATTAAGAGGTCATTACAATTGCATTGTAATTTTTATTAGATTATATAATTACAGTTATACTGTTTATTCAATTAGATTTCACAATTAAAATGCAATTATAATTAAAATGCATATGAGTAAATTGTATATGTAATTAAAAATTGTTACATTGTAATTACAAGATAATTGCATAATATTATTCCAATTACTATGTGTTTTCAATTGCATTCTGCAATTACATTTTCAATTAAGATCATGATTTTTCTGGGCTACGTAACTGCTTTTATCAGAAACAATTGCTATCCTAATTACATTATTATAATTACTTACTGGAGTTACAATGACAGTCTAATTGTAATTAGATTATATGATTGCAGTTGCATTGAATATGAAATTGGATTTCACAAATATAGAGTAATTGTAATTTAAATGAAATTACGTAAATTGTAATTGTAATTAAAAAAAACAGCTACTTTTTAACTTAGCTACTTTTTAACTTAGCTACTTTTTAAACAGCTACTTTCTACTTAGTAATTGCATAATTTTATTACAATTGCATACTACACTTAGAATTACAATTATGATCATAATTTCACTATGTTAAGTAATTCTAATTATCAGAGACAATTACTTTCCTAATTACGTAGTTATAATTACCAACTGCAATTGCAGTTAAAATTACGTTGTAATTAGCTAATATTACCGTAGTTGTGATTAGATGCAATAAAATTTTTAATTGTAATTAGATTATATAATTATAATGTTTGTGATTATCATTGCATTGTAATTGTAAGACTTAAGAATTAAAATGCAATTACATACATTATTGTTGCATTTAAAAAGTACTTACTTTCTAATTGTAATTGCGAAGCTAATTACAATTGCAATATAATTGAAATCACATATTTCAAAATATTGTTGCAGTTTCTTGCAATTTTAATTTTAATTCCAATTACATTTTGCCAAACTGCATCTAAAATTTGGAGAAATAATTAGGCTGGAAAATGAAAATTCTCTTTACATTTATATATAAACATTTAAGTTTACTATAGCTGGTATAAGCACAGAACAGCTGGAACAGCTGGAAGTTTTGAACGAGCTTTCGAACTGTTATTCAAAACCTAACGATAAAACCCATTTGCCCCTAGCGAATAGATAGTTTCCTCTCCTCAATTACCTCCCGCAGAGAAAAATTATCACCTGTCAGTTTACATTAAGAGCAGTGAGGGGAGGGCATTCTGAGACAAGCCGTATATATGCTGCTTTGCCGTTTAGTGCCAAAATTTAGGTTTACGTATATATGCTGCCTTGCCACCATGAGGACCAAAATATTTGGACGCATATATGCTGCCTTGCCGCTATGAGAGCCATTATTTTCGAACGCATATATACGGCCTTGCCGCCTGGAGGGTTAACAGGTGGTTACATTAGTGTGACTCAATTGTGTATATTACAATATTATCTCTGCAAATCATGTAGACTGTGAAAGAACTCTGCCCCCCCCCAAATCCTATTCTGAGTGAGTTATTGAGCATATTACAAACTGGTGTGATACTGGAATTTGTGATTTCCTTCCAGAAAACATGTTAAATTTTTCTAGCTACAGATACATCAAAGGATAACAATAAGTAGCAATTATTGCAATATATAACCCCTAAATCAATATCTTGAAATAATGAATATTTCTGAAGATATCTCCTTTTATTCTGCAAGGAATGAAATCATTCTTGCAGGAAATTTTATGACATAATAAGATGTGAAGGAACATAAGTATCTATTTTAATCAGATCAGGGTACGAGACAAGAGTTTCTGAAGAAATTTTAAAGTACTTTCAAAAAGTTACAATTTCTCTCTAGCAGTTGTCCTTTACTTTTTATGTATTTTTATTATACTGAAGCAGCTTGTTTTTATGGTTTTTAGGAGGTATTTTGATCATTTTGGATTTATGATAAAACTACTCTCAAGACATAAAAATGACACAGAATGAGAATTCGGATAATGACTCAAGTACAAGATCTAAAAATTCCCAGAATGGCCATGTTCTTGATGTAAATGCGTAAAATGTGCGATTCATGACCTATTCTTGATGTATATGTTTAATATGTATTTAAGTATTTGTATTCAAACATGTTTAGATTAATATAAAACTAGCTAATGGGCTGGTAGCATACACATTGTGTAAAATTAATATAAACCAGTTTCATCTTAAATCTGCATCCCCAAAGATGAGCAGCCTGGATCTTCAAGATCTGGCATGATAACATGTATTTAAAGAATCTTTATTAGCTAAACTTTTATACTTCTTATAATAGGCTCTATTTTCATAAACTTATATTTATTATGATGACATTTATATTATTAAAGAAAGTAAGAAAGCAAAACATTGTAAATTAAAAGCTAATATATACCAAATGACCAAAAAAACTTACGACCAGATAAAGCCAGTCATGGTGTTCAGAGGGTTAATTCAAATCAACTAAATTAACTAATACATATAGATTTCAAGTTGAAAGATATAGCTATTTGTAAATTACGAGAGCAATATCTTTATGTGCAATTTAAACATCTAAGTGATACAATTTAAAATGCATTTAATTTGTAGCAAACGTTTAAAAATTATGAGCATTTGCAACTGTATTGTAATTAATAAAAGAAGTTTTCAATGCTATTTATTTCATATTTGGTAGGAAATAATGGCTTTTGCTTATTTAGTTTATATTTAAAATTTTTATAACAGCACTCAAGAAATTAAATATCAAAGTACATTCATGTAGTAGGTATAGCTTGAAGAACAGAGGTAAAAGCTCACAAAAAACCTTCTGATGTCTAATGTCACTCTTCAGATAAGATGACCTATAAGTGTTTGGCATAATGCCAACAAAGTTGAACAATCTGTGTTCAGATGGTATCTGACCATCTTTACAGAGAAAAATATATGTACTCAGAATGCAAATGAGTAACACAATAAGGCATTATGCTAGCTAATGCCAAGTATTGAGTGTTTTACATTTATGTCACTCTTTAGGCAAGTTGATGTCCTCTGTTTTTAAAAAAGTCAGGAAAGCCAATGGAGTGAAGTGACAGAACACTAGATGCAACAATTAATAAAGCTAGCAAAAATCCTTATTTTTTTTTGCTAGCTACAATCCCTATTTTCAATTAAAAAAAATCATAAATTGAAAAGATACAATTATCATTTCTGCAAAATATACATATTTTAATAATCTAATCCCAGTTTCCACATAACATGCATATTACAGGCAGTATACAGTAATCATATATTAAAATGCATGTACATTGTAAATGAATTTTAAATTTTAATTAAAGGTACTAACTATAGATGCAATGAAAACACTTATGCAAATTACAGAAAATTCATAAACCCTATGCCCAGGACAACATGTTTCTAATTTTAAAGAATGGTCAAGACACCCTAAGAAATAGGTGGTGTTCTGCATTTCATAGATAAAAAAATAATTTCCTTCAATTAAATTTTGAAATAAATCTCATTTATGTAAAATAGTAAAACCAAGCAGGTGTGAATAGGTGGCCTGCAGTAATGTTATTGCTAATAAAACCAAAACTGGACTTTTCAAATAATACACAACTTTTAGACTAATCAAAATACAAAAATCCATGCATTATATTCAAATTGAAGATTCTCCCAAATTAAAAATATAATACTGAACATTTCAAGGGAAAAATGGAAATTAAAAAAAAAAAAAATTATTAAATAGAAATTTGAAAATTAAATACTAGCTGCATTTTCAGTTATCAGAGTGGTTTAGTAACATATGTGAAAAGCCCAAAGCAATAACATTCCAGATATTGGAAAATGTGTGTACTAGTATTTTGTATTCAGTATAATATGCCAACAATCAAACAATCAGCTCTATTTTGATTCCCAGTTTGAATAAAAATTATTAAATTCCTAAATATATGTGCATAACCCCTTGAAAAATGATTTTATTACAATAGTAATAATACAGTGTAAAATTTAAATGTATTAAATTACATTGGATGGTCTATTTAACTTTCAAGCTTCTAAAAAATCATTAATATTTTTAATACATTGTTTATTGTATTAAAAACGAGAATGCCTTTTTAGAAGGCCTATTTCATCAGAGGTATACCCAGCCTACTCTCCATCAGACGTATGCAGTTCCCCCCTTCTTTCCAGCCTTCAAACCCTGCTTTAATGAAAATTAAACAACATAATGTGGCAATTTACAAGAGACAGGAATGGAAATAATTACATTTAGAATTCCATGATTGGTATAATTATTAACCATACGAAGCTAATAGGTTCATTAAAAATTTTTATAAAATAATGACCAAAAGTTTATAAACTTACCTGGTGATGCTTATTTAACCATGCTGTCTGTGGAGGAACTTTATCTACAACTCTCACCTAAAAAAATCAAAACCCATAAAAAAAAAAAAAAAAAAAAAAAAAAAAAAAAAAAAAAAAAGGAAGTATTTAAAGAATCTACAAAAAAATATACTCCAATAAATAAAATTATTTTAAAATGAAATAAAAATTATAACACATCTGAATTAAAAACGGTTTTAGTTTGTTATATTTACCTTAGAAACAAGATTATTTGATATTAGGTAGTCTACTAAATGTCTTCCTATAAATCCACATCCTATAAAAATATAATTATTAAAATATTGTTATTAAAATAGAAAGATGAAACTGAAAAAAGGAATAAAGTTCAATAATCACATATATTTGTTTCACTAACAAGAACTAAACATGCACTTGATGAAATAATTATAAGAGAAATGCAACTTCTCTTGGGGGGATAAGATTTTAAAATGAGTATATTTAAAAACAGATATCCATTATACAATACAGAGGTTATAAACTTTGTCAATAAGAGCCACACTGTTGGGAGTTAAAAGCATCCAAGAGTTTTAAAACGGTTACTTATTTTTTATTCTAAAAATAGTAATTCATGAAAAGACGTTTATTAATGAAAGAACTTATTATTTTTTTTAAAATATGAAATATCCTCCAACATAGAACAGCATTTCTCTTGTCTCCAGTTTTTATTTATTAGTTATTTTATTTGGAAAGATCAAAATTGCCAATCACAGAGGCCAAAATTTTCATTTAATTCTTTTTGTATCACAAAAGATACGCGATCGTTTAGCTTTAAAAAAAAAAAAAAAAAAAAAAAAACTGAAATGTTTCAGATTTTAAATTACGTCCAAAGGGGCGTTTTTTTTTAACATTTTGTGTGTTACCTTTCTTTATTAAATATCATGTTCCTCGCACTTAAAACATTTTCATAAATTCATGTTCCAGTGCAACAGCAATATCGCAAAATAGTTTTAAAACGAGAATATCTTTAGAATTTCCGATACAGAGACTCACGCGCTGGAGATAAAAATGTTTTTTCTGCACAACGTTGCCATTGCTCGCTTTGAAATCCTTGAGTTTGTTAATCAAAAATTCGTCAAAGTTTTAAAAAATAGGAAATCGATCATAAAAAAAATTTCAAATTTGGTCTTCCACATGCTCATATTCGTTGGAGGATTACGTTATTCAAAATTCGATGACTCTATGTACCGTTATTTTATGACAATGGGAGAAATATACATACATTTACGCAGATTTTCATTATTTAATTTCTTCAAATATAATGCAGGACTCTAACATTTTATGGCAACAGTTTGAAAAGTGAACCGACATTTATCCGTCCGACGCAAAATGCCAAAACGAAACTAATAGTCCTTCGGGATTCAAATCCCTTTGGACTAAAAAAAAAAAAAAAAAAAATCTGAAATGTTTCAGATTTTAAATTACGTCCAAAGGGGCGTTTTTTAACATTTTGTGTTACCTTTCTTTATTAAATATCATGTTCCTCGCACTTAAACCATAAGATCCAGTGCAACAGCAATATCGCAAAATAGTTTTAAAACGAGCATATCTTTTAGAATTTCCGATACAGAGACTCACGCGCTGGAGATAAAAATGTTTTTTCTGCACAACGTTGCCATTGCTCGCTTTGAAATCCTTGAGTTTGTTAATCAAAAATTCGTCAAAGTTTTAAAAATAGGAAATCGATCATAAAACAAATTTCAAATTTCAAATTTGGTCTTCCACATGCTCATATTCGTTGGAGGATTACGTTATTCAAAATTCGATGACTCTATGTACCGTTGTTTTATCACAATACGAGAAATATACATACATTTACGCAGATTTTCATTATTTAATTTCTTCTTCAATATAATGCAGGACTCTAACATTTTTGTGGCAACAGTTTGAAAAGTGAACCGACATTTATGAGTCCGACGCAAAATGCCAAACGAAACTAATAGTCCTTCGGGATTCAAATCCCTTTGGACTAAAAAAAAAACAAAAGCAAAAATTGACATTGCGCGAACTTGCATGATACTGCCGTTTTCCCATGTACTCGGCGATCTTTTCGCTTAAAAATACAGTATACTCTCACCCATTCGCCGTTCATCGTTCGCATACTCGTTGATTTTGCTCTCAAAGTTTTTTTTCCTCCATAAATTCGGCAATTTTGCGAATTTCTTAGCCCATTTTTTTTAGCAGAAAAATGCTCACTTTCACTCTAACAGGTAAATAATTTAAAAATAACAATGCCAGTTAGAAGCTTTCGTTTCTCCTTGCTACTAATTGGCTGCAGACGACGTAACGTCACAAGCATCTTCGTGCGCGAGAGGACAAATAGTTCTCTCTCTCAGTCGGTCGCCGGCAGGTTGCAAAGAATACCGGAAAGATGGTGCATTTAATTATGGCAAAGCATACTAGAGCTATCTGCCTACGGGAAGGGATGCCTTCGTGGAGGACTTTCTACGGGAAATTGGCTCGTATACACGTTACACATGGGGAAAACCACGAAAACCAAACAGCCAGCCCGGTTCGCGGGATTCAGCCTCGGACCGAACTAACCTTGGTTCGCAACTTTACCGCAAACTTTACCGCTCGGCCGCTGGTGGGCCGAATACCGGAAAGAATTCGAGAGGATACCTACATCACCTAAAGCTGTAATCCCACCTCCAAAAGATGGTGATTCCCCGCAACTTAAAAAAAAAATGACGGAAATAAGCAGATGAATCTCTCAAAACCGCTTTACAGCGAAAAATTGAAGATAAAGATCGAGCCATTCCCTGATAAAGCCAACGAAGCTCTTGATTACTTACTTCCTCAGAACTATCGTCTCACAAGTAGAAAGGATACTTGCAGCGAAATCTACAGCAGAAAAGTTATTAGCTGGATTTAACGCTGCCACGACACTGATAAAACTCGCAGAATCTGATGATTAATTCAGCGCAGTGCTTTGTCAGCCGGCAAACTCCATCAACCCATTACGATAAAACTGCACCAATAAATGGCGGGTTTTCGGGATTCGTGGGAAGGGAAGGAGCGTAACCCCGCGAATAACGGGGAGGGGATACTGTATTAGGTAATCGCATAAATTTGGCAATACACACATTGTTATTTTCCCATGTACACAAGAAAAACATAGAGAGAGAATTGCATGAATCACGGTATCAGCGCACAAATTCAATCCTTTACGAAATACAATTTCAGGGAATGCAAATTTTTGCATTGTTAGATAAAATGCGATATTTCTGAAGAAATTCAAAGCTTTCTTTTTTGTCAGCCGGCGAACTCCATCAACCCATTACAGTTCCTTCGAAGAAAAAATGCACAAACTCATCAGACACTAATCAGAACAAGCATAGCCAGAAAAATGACTGTCGATTTTGAATAACCTCACAACAAAACGACGAACACTTCTGAAGCATTGGATAACTCTAAAGAGCGAAAACTAGCCAGTTGCATATCGGCTACATAGGCTCAAGCTGTTTCCAAAGGAAATTTTCCCTGAAGTTTACGAAAAGATAAAATTAATAAAAAAAACGAAATAAAAAAATAAAATACAATAAAACAATATGTATATATATATATATATATATATATATATATATATATAATATATATATATATATAATATATAATTATATTTAAACAAATTTAAATTTTAACAAACATGTATATACGTAAAAAAGTAAATTTAAAGTTAAAATAATTAAAAAATGTGCAAAAATATAAAAGATTTAATTTTCGAACTAATCTACAATATCATTTAAATTCAGATAGCATAAGTAAATCAAGTGCAAAACCAAACCCAAATTGAAATTAATCTAAAAATTTTTTTTAAAAATGCATAAGTGAATGAGTGTTGAGCAGGCAGGAGACAGACTTATCAAGGGGAAGTTGCCTCCAAATCTAACTCTCCAAACATTCAATTCGTGTTTCGTATGATAATAATAAATGATATTTTAGATTATTAGATAATTATTATTGATTATATTAATAATTATTAGATTATTAGATAATTTGTTTAAATTTAAATTTCATTCCTTGCAGCAACGGCGCTAAGAATTAATTAAATTTGTATTTAAATTAAATTTATTTAAATTCAATTCATTCTTATGAAACAATTTATATATATATATAAAAGAAAATCTGAAAAGTTTCAAATTTTAAATTACGTCCAAAGGGGCGTTTTTTAAACATTTTGTGTGTTACCTTTATTTATTAAATATCATGTTCTTCGCACTTAAACCAATCATAAAATTCAGTTCAAGAGCAATATCGCAAAATAATTTTAAATTGAGCATATATTTAGAATTTCCGATACAGTTTCAAGCGCTGGAGATAAAAATGTTTTTATTGTACAACGTTGCCATTGCTCGCTTTGAAATCCTTGAGTTTGTTAATCAAAAATTCGTTAAAGTTTTACAAAATATGAAATCGATAATAAAACAAATTTCAAATTTGGGCTTTCAGATGCCGATATTCGCAGCAGGATTACGTCATTCAAAATTTGATGGCTCTAGGTACCGTTGTTTTATCACAAAGCGAGAAACATACATACATTTATGCAAATTCTTCATTATTTAATTTCTTCAAATATAATACAGGACGAATAATATTTGGTGCCAACAGTCTGAAAAGTAAAACGGACATTCAGAGCGATTCGACACAAAATCGCAAAACGAAAACAATAGTCCCTCAGGGACAAAGCCCCTTCGGACTAATAAATCCCCCATTCTAATATCGTTGGTTTATTTCTTTGATTTACTGATCTACGAAATGCTGCAGATACTGGGATTTTCTAATGTTAGGGTATTAAGAAAAACCTAACATTAGAAATCAGCATTAAAACTGTAACTGTGCCGTGGAATGTAGGCAGAAACAATGCAGTGACTATACTCCCGCTGCATTTTTTCTACGGTAAAAGCTTACAGATAGGCTACAATTCTTAAGCGGCCTTCAGCAATATCCAAAGTATGAAAGAAATTTTTTAAAATACTCAAGAAAGACAAGAGATATAACAACAAAATTTATTTAGTAGATAACATGTTGACCAAGTATCAAATGATAAAATTTATAGACTTCTGTGAAGTGTGGTTCCTTCCAGAATCAGAAGCCAGAGTAGCCGCCATTGTTGAAGATCACAGCTGCCATACGCCTCGGCATTGATTCAAAGAGACTTTGGATGTGTTCTTGGGGTACAGCAGACCAAGCAGCTTCTACACGTTGCCAAAGTTGATCTGGTGTGGCAGCTTGGGATGTAATCTGGGTCAATCGTTC